GACGCATTCGGAAAATGTTAAGTGTAGAAATGGCCTTCTGCCTCGGAATATATAACGCGTAACGATAATGCAGCTCACATTTGTGTTCTTTTTTTGTAGTATCGCGTTTGAGATAGCGCCGAACGAGATTCAGAGCGGCTACATATTCGTAGACGAGCGAGAAGCGTCACGTAGACTTAATATGTACGTGAGAAGCATTAAATGGCACTGCCACTAATTTACGATATCGTAACGATGATTGCGATTGCGATGAGAGAGCAATATCAAGCGTTTAACAACGTCGCGTCGCGACACTGATGCTGTAAGCATCGGGGAAAGGTATATTCTTCGCGCTCACGAAGTTAAGGCTACGCTTCAGTATTTTTCAAAACGATGTAACATAGAACTCCTTATCACAATCTCTTCGTGGCGCCAATATCTTGGAAAGCTAACTTTGGAAGTTTTTGACGCCTCGCAAGATTTGACATTAATCGTACTACGAAAACGTTACAAAAATTATATATATATGGTATTTTCAATTAGTAAAATTATTTTGTGATTATGAATATCGATTTCTTAATGATCTCGCGCAACACGAATGTGTTTTGCTCATCTGTGAGAAGATTTTCTTTCGCGCTAACGCGTTTCTATCGATTGAAGTAAAATGAAATAAGATTCATAGAAGACGACCAATGGCTAATTTTTTATAATGCAAACCGGCAATCAAATTTCAAACAGGATTTGATATTAATAAAGGATTATTGGCATCGTTATTATTAATCAATTTTCAATAATGATAGCTGATTGATCACTACTCCCGTCATATATTTTTTATGGTGGAAAACCGAGACGCTGCATCGAGCCATAACTGTCGTGATTCTCACTCGTTACGCAGACAGTTAACAATATTATACTAATACTTCGCGTCGTGATCAAAAAGATCTTACTTGGATAAAGAAGACGTACATACGTACATATGTTTCGTTCGTACATTTCTTATACATTAAGCAACATCTATTGTCGTAGTATTTGATCTAGATATAACACATTTGTGTATTATGCGTATAAACGATATACTCGTAGAATTGTAGAGGCGTTTCATTGGCCTACTTATGATTAGAGGGTTTTTAGCAGTAGTGGCTACGGTTCATATCTCGCGAAGAGAGGACGAGGGAAATGTCGTCCTTCCGCGATGGACATACATACGTGTGTACTAGACGTATTTAGGTAATAAAATATATGTAGGCTGCTAGAATACATTGTCCATTTTACGTACCGTGAGTTAAGATGATATTGCGCCAGCGTATTTCTCATTTCGGTATCCAATTCACGTGGGAATCAATAGTGATCTCCTTGCGAAAATCGAGCACCGATAATGACGCAACGCGATAGATGAGAAAAATAGATAAAAATAAAAATTTAACAGTCAATTTGAAAATTTTCGAACAAGCGAAAATTCTTTTTTACTACGTACTTGTTCGAGCAATTTCACTTCAATTTACGGTACGTACTTGTAAAATAAAAATTTTTTGTACATGCTTGTACATGAAAAGTCGCGAGGACACAAAGTATGCGTGTATCTCGAGACTATGCAAATGCTAGCTGACTTTAATCGATCTCTTGAAAAGAGAAGGTTGCGCTAATATAAATAATCAAGCTTTTTAGTCGACATTAACCGGCCAATGTTTTAATACAGAAAATTTATTGCGAAAAATATTACCTCAGCCAGGGTCTGAATCTGAACTATAGAGTAGGCAAGTCTTATTTTTCGCAATAAATTTTCTGTATTAAAAAAGTGGCCGGTTAATGTCGACTAAAAAGCTTGATTATTTTTATTTATTACTGGCAACTTAAAGAGATTTCTATGTTTGCGCTAATATATTAACATTAAATAGAAGAGATATTGATGCTAATTATATCTGAAAGAGAGCAGAAGGAAAAAATCATAAAATTACATGTTTTACGGAAGAGAGTTTGGCTTTTCACAGAGTAAAAAAATCGATAATAATTTAATATTGACGTCACGTGTAACATTTTCTTTACGTACATGACTTCGATTTTGCTACGTTATTGAAATATGCAATCTCAGTAGAAAGAGTCATATTTCTAAAGTCGTTAATGCATCTTGCAGGATCAATTCTTCTGATTGCGCCATTGTAACCGACTTGCGAGTGTATAAATTTGAAATAATCTTTTCTATTACGTAGCAGCAGAAAATATATGTACAGTAAGCATAGCAAGTTGAGATCCTATATAAATTATCGTTAAAGCATTCGTTTAGTGATTTCTATATATTGCTTTCTTTATCAGCGATATCTGTCATCATTTTTCCGATTACTTGCTCAATTCATGTCCGATCTCGACAATTTGATGGACGTGCTGATAGATAAGTTATATATATATATATGTATTTAGCATTGATATATTTTTACCGGACACCTTAAATAGACGATTAGAAAAGGATGCGAGACAAGAATTGTAATGTCAAGAAAAAGATATCTGGCATGGCATAAGAATTGCAGCAACGTCGACGATGTCCCGTCGACAATACGTACGGACTGCAGATAAAAATGAAGAAAGCATCCCCGATTGAAATTCCTTCCGTTTTTACCGGAAGTAAAAAAAAAGGCGTATCTCTTTTAGCGGCACCAACGACAGAGCAAAATGTGGACATTTCTAACGATGTAAATGATAGATGAGAGGAATTGGGCGTAAGATACTGCTCGCTTCTTTCAGCGAATTAATATGTATGTCCTATTTTACTTGATCATCAAATGTAGTAGAAATATTCAATATAAACTGTCTCGATAGCGAAATATGATGACACCGTTTTCTGTTCTTTTAAAGCATCTAAGTAATTTCATCTATCTCCATCATTGAAATCTTATTTAAATAATCACGTGAAGTCCTCGCGGAAATTTGGAAGAAACTTTTAGGGTACGCCTTGTGTGCATCGAAGAGATTCACAAATAGAGCGCCGAGATATCGTCTGCGGCTTGATAAATAATTATCACTCTCATAGCTTGTTTTTCTCATTCGTTTCGGATTGAACTCTATGATTATTCTGTCTTTGTCTTATAAGTGCCGGACAGATTTGTGGTTTGAGATAATATTAAGAAATATTTATATTGTAAATATACGATACACGGGTCCGTGTTGCAGCTCGATCGCGATTACAAGGGACACGACATTTCTCTCGAAGCACAGTAGAAGATAACGGAGATTCGGCGACATCGCGAAATTCGATCGCGCCGAGTATATTTTTCGAGGGATGACAAGTTTTCAGAGATTTAACGAAATTTAAACCCCTCCCCCCACCCCCGCCCCCGCCCCTCCCCGCCCCGCTTCGAAAAGTCGAGTCCTTGTCGTGGTACGATCCTGCGATCCATCGTAGTAGTTGACCGATCACTCTTGTCGAAATATAATATGCAAATTTTTAATATTAAGACCAGTCCGCAGCTCTGTGGAGACGTCGAGCGCTATGCAGGGAATTACAAAGCCCGATATCTGCCGAAACATTGATCAGCGTGTTTACTAATGCGCAAATGAATCTTAAGGAGGGCGGCCTCTAAAGTCACCACATCGCTGCGCTGTTCTGCATAAATATATAAAAATACGCGTTGATTGTGTAAAAATTGATCACGTCGTTGATTGGTAACTTTGATGTCAGAGTAGCGCGTTGTCTCGAGAGCCTCCCTCGTTTGGGAGACAACCCAAGATTTCTAATTTACTTGAAGTACATTTCGAGATGAGAAAGAGTGTTAAAAAAAAAGTGTTGCTAATTAACATCGCGCGTATACATCGGGCTTCTAATGACGTTTGCGAATTTAGGCACTGTAGAACCCTTAACATTCGTGTGCCACGTAGGATAGGTCTAACATTCGACAGGTCCGATCGCGAGATGGAAGAGGAGTAATTTTGATACGAAAGCCTTGGCTTTACTTATAATCCGCTATTGGCATTGATTTGAGATTGTCAGGCAACGATTCGCGCATCCGATACTACAATTATCGTCTCGCACGTGCGAGCGGCGGATAAAACTGTTAGGCCTATCTTGCTCTCGATCAACATTGTCATTTGAGATATATTCGTCATGATCATCGTATAATATATCAGGTTTACTCTTCAGGTCATCGAGTAGGGCGTAGAGTTTTTCAACTTCTAGGTGTTAAAGGAATATTTTATAAGCTACAAGAATATATGCATATTATATGTATATGCAGACACGTATATATTATATCACGTAAGGGCATTATGCGTGTGTAATATATACTATAAATAAATATATATATATCCAAATGTACAATTTTACATCGTCGTGGATGTATTGTTACAGATTAATTGCGTAAAGGTGGCCTCGTCGCGTTCTAACTGAAAGAACGAGGCCACTGTCGCTTGCTCTTTTACGGAACACGCGTAAGAGCATATATATATAAATATATATAAATATATATAATTATACATAAATATATATATAAAATTTGTCATTATATTCCCGCTAAGGTACTTACTATTATGGCTATTACAGCATGGTAATCGTGAATGTTGTGGAGTGGATCTATTTATGAATCCGTCGATCGTTAATGTAATCAAACGTGTTCTGCGTGACTTTTAATAGAACACTTTAAAATTGATCACGCCCCGCATCTTTTCTTCCTTGCCCGTCTTGACGTCATCCGGACAATATTTCGATGCAACGCATCCTCTTAATAACAGAATAACAAAGGAAGTAATAAAAGAGAGTAAAGATAATAAAGATAATAATGAAGGCAGTTTGCTTTCCTTACATGCAACCATTTCACGCAGCTTTGCTTGGTGTATCTTCCATTTTTATTGCAAAGTAAATTTGTCGTAGACTTAATTTTTTCGACATGAAATAATTACGGAACAGTTTTATTGGTAGAAGATTCCATTTTGTCGTTTGCATAAAATATTAGAAAATACGCACGTTATATATAAAAAATAAAATATAAGCACCTTCGTTGAAAAATATAGGCGCGGCTCTCCATGAAATGGTTTCACAGAGCACGAAGCAACCGTAGCAGTCGTGGCCGAGTGGTTAAGGCGTCTGACTAGAAATCAGATTCCCTCTGGGAGCGTAGGTTCGAGTCCTACCGACTGCGAAAGGTGGTTTAATTTTTTTTTACTATCTAACAGATATATAGTCAACAACTATCGCATGGATATTAAATAGTCAATGATTATTTAACGTATTCATATTTTTAGAATAATTTAGAAGTGTATTAGGGCGGTACATAAATTGCAATGCGATAATACAAGTCTATTTCGTAATCGATATCGCAATGCTGAAAAGATATTTGTATTACGAACGCGATTTCAATCACGATTGCGTCAATATGTCGTGTTTGCTGTGTCAATTATCGACATTTTTTTTCCAAATCGAGATAATTTATATCTATGTCGATAACAGTGGAATAGAAGATGTAGAAAATTTCAAGTAAACGGTAATCAATCATAAGTAGACGAATGAATTATAAAGAAGCAATACGTATGAGCTTCAATTATTCAAAATAGGACGATTTGTAGATACAAGATTGGAATATATTGCCTGCAATTATAGATAAAATCAGTAGACAGATGATTTAGCATCGTATCCCCCGACATAACACCCCGTGATGTCCTTACGTAAAGCAATTTCTCTCGTGCGATCAATTTCATGATAATAGATCAATAACTTCTCGACCTCGGGCGTATCACTCGAGTGCACGCGTACCTAGGAGTAAAAGCATTATCTATTCGTTCCCATTCGACGTGTTTAATCACGCAAACAAGAAAATAACAGCGACGAAAAGATGAAGATTGCAGGTGCCATCTCGTATTTTTTCGCCGTGACGAATGTCGCTCGTTCATATTTTTATCGAGAAGTTTATATTGACCAAGCGATCCAGGATATCTTACAATCGATTGGTCGTCAGGATATAATTATTAGGATTCAGAGATACGATATCTATGACGGAGCCCAACGTCTCCTTGACGTCGTCGCCCGGAATGTGGCAACGACGTGGCCGTCGCAGATCCTCGGAGGAAGAATAGGATTCGGCTTTCAACCAGGAGACTTGGCTTCCTCCCGCACTCTGCTGATTTACATTTATGCGTCGAACGATGATGTCAACGACGCGGAACTGCTTGCCATGCTGAACGACACAAACTTGATATCCCATCCCAAGCACAGGCCGAAGCTCCTGTTAATAATCGGCTCGAACACAGGTACGTTGGACGGACGGCGCCAACTCAAGTACCTGTGGGATCGAAGGCTCTTCGACGTGATTATCCTAGAAGTGTCCTTTCACCCGCAATACTCGGAACCGATTTTCGTGGCTGTACATCGCTTCAATGGATTCAACGGGGATTACTCGAGAGTGACCGTATACGAGGACGAGACCAACTGGTACCCGAACAAGCTACGGGACATGCACGGCGGTACGTTCAAGGTGATGTTTAAGGAAGTGCGTCCTTACGGCACTTTGGAAAATGGCACGGTAGGCGGTCTGGCCAAGCTGTTCATGAACGCGCTATCGGACGCCGTAAACGGTACGGTGGTGCACACGAGCGACTTGCAGGAAAGCGACATGAGGTACAACGCCGAAGGACTCGTGTACGAGAACGAGTACAGCACGCAATACGAGCACACTGTCGCTATCGGCGACGACAGGATCTGCGCGCTGGTTCCGACGATGCCGGCGGCAAGGGTGCTGGTTGATTTCTGGCGGATCATCATCACGATCCTGCTCGGTTTCCTACTGGCGGCGGTGGTGTGGTGCGCCTCGCTGATCATGAGCATCAGCGAGCGAGTTCGCGATCCTCTGAACACAATCAGTCTGATCCTCGGCATGGCGCCGCTTCACGGACCCCGCAGCCCCGTGGAGAAGGTCCTGTTCGTCGCCGTGGTGATGACCGTGGCGGAGTACACGATTATTTTTCAGGCGGAACTGCTCGAGTTCGTGGTGGAGTTCGCGGTCAGCACGCGCGTGTCCACTTTCCAGGATCTGTACAAGACGGGGCTGAAAGTGGTGGTCTCGCCAGTTGTGTACGACGAGCTCGCGACTACCGAGGGACTGTCCCCCGAGTTCATGAAGAGATTCATCAGCTCGGCCGAGTTCGCGATCCAAGATAAAGACGGCACGGTGGATACCTCGAAGGCATATTTTACCACCGAGATTGACGGTAAATTGGCGGAGACTAACAATAAGTTGAAACGTAAAGGTAGACGGCTCTTCAAGCTATCCGATCTGTGCATTTTATCGCATTATCGCGTGCACAATCTCAACGTGAGGTCACCTTTCAAAACTGAAGTTGACAACGTGCTGCTATCTTTAGTGGAGTCTGGATTTTCCGGGAAGTATGTCGATGATTTCTGGAAAGACGACAAATCTGGACGCAAGCACGAAAACGGAATGACTCTTCGCGATCATTCCGTGTACGTTGCATTTTTCGTTATTATCGTGGGCCATAGCGTATCGTTCATTGTATTCCTAGGAGAGGTAATAGCAGATCGAGTTTTGAAACGCAAACGTTTCTCTCTTTCTTTCAGTTATTGCAAATCGACAAAAGTGTCGAAACAATCGAAAATTAACACTAAGAATACAAAATAGCATACAATTAATTTTATATGATTTAATATATAACTACTTAAAATGTTTTGTCAATTCTTGGGCGTTTTGAAAGGAATATAAGAATGTGCAAACTGCTGCAGTAGAAAAAGTGGAGGTCAGAGCTTCTTAGAATTCAATGGCATGAAAAGGTGAACGCACGACTCATCTAGGAAGCTTTTCGGAGTTTCGACTTAAGCTGTAAAACTAACAATAAGTATTATTGCTATGCGGCGTGACTTTTCGAAATTTCTCTCGCATCGCGACTCGTTACATGAAATATCGAACAATTACCGAGAAGACATGTGTATCTAATTGTAAGATCCTAAATAAGTGAGTTATTTCTTGACTCTGTACCTTGATTTTATACCTTAACGCATTCTACTGTTTATAACTGCATTACACGAACTAGATAAATAGGCCGGTATATTCATAGTTAGACTTTATATTCAAGCCGTCTTAAGTTTATCTTTAGATGTTGCATAGAACATTTCATTGGCTACAGAGTATTTAAAGATGATCTTTAGACGATCTTAAATATAAGATCTATCTATGAATGAACCGACCCTAAGTTTAATATAATAGTTATAATATACCACAAGATTAAATTATACTATCATAGTACAATTAAATAATTAAATTAATGCTTCAAAATTGTTTTAGCTTTTAAAAATGAACTCAAACCTGTATTAAAAAATTAAGATTATTAGTAAGATTAAAAAATATATACTTATACACATAAGAAAATATTATTTATAGATGCCTAATCTATAAATGGTATGTGTTTCACATAAATAGGATATATGAAGCTTTTTAGTTTAATCACGATAACGCGTTCAAAAATAAACTGATCAAATGATCTTATTGTTAGATTATAACTGCTTTATTCGTTTGACTAAAAGAGAGGAGTTCCGCTTGTCGAATATTATCTCATGAAGGATGTATATAGAACGTGCTAGTGACGCAAGTATAACAAATATGAGTACGAGTACACGACCGTGGACGTTGCGCTTCATTCGGCCAATAAAATCTTGCAAAACAATTTACAATTTGCATTTCGCTTAAGATTTGACACCAATAACGCAGCAGAAATACGCCCGGCAACTGGCACGGCGTCAGCGATATCATACGATAAGCACATTTGGGTTTTTTTTGTATTGTAAAATGTTATTGTGACCTTGCGAAGAAGTCTATTTTCAACATGTAATCAACGGACGTTCTTGTGAGATTGAAGTAAGAAATTGGCAAAAGTCAAAGAACAAGTTATAAAGATAATAATATCTGAAATGGATAACAATGAGATAAACCGTCATTGAAAAAGAACTCTTTTAAAAATGCAAAGCGATAAAGTTGCCACACAAAGATAACTTAAAGTAAAGGAATTATGTATTGAGACGATTACCATAATTCCTACGATTATAATTTGCACAAACGGTGAGTTATTCTACGTTAATTGCTATGACTCAGCAAATTGTCTCGAAAATTATTGGGCAGTGAGTCATTAGCGAAATAAAACATCACATAAACGTCCGTGGCCTCTGCAGATACATCTCCCTTAAAGTCGGTAGCGACGATTGTTGGCTTCGCGCCCGTACAGTGAAAGATTTGTAATCGCGCGAACATGAATATGTTTGCCACGGGCGATATCGCGGCGTATCACGAGATTGCTGTTGTCATTTAAATTATCCGATAGCGCGTATCACGTGTTACGTATCGCTACCATCGTTGAAACGTGCGTGCCGCACGTGGATTTCTTTATCGTTGTCACGATATTTGTCGGTGGCTTTGGCAGTGACAACCGCGGCTACTATTTATATGCCGCCAAAAATATGCACCATGCATATCTTGCGCGGCTTTATAAAAAGTTCAAAGTCGTAAGAGAACATTCTCGAGAATTCAGAGATCTTTCGAAAAGATGCCCCACGTATTAAAGCAGCTAATGTATGCGACTTAGAAAATTTTTATCTTTTTCTACCTCGATTACACTTCTATTTACAGTATTTTGATCTTATTTTTGCTTCTATCTGACACATGGCTGGTAAAATGGAAACACATCAATGGTCTTTCTTGCCAAATTTTCTTTTGGATATTCAGTGTCAAGAGAGACGCAAGATCGCTTCTCTTTACACAAACTAAAAATATCTACGTTTATCGAGAAGAAAACGATTACTTTATTAAAATCTCAATTATCTTTTTTCTTCACTTGTATGACAACTGGAATGTTTGTAATACACGAGATTCATACAATAATAAATTTAAGAAAAATGACTTTCCCTTTCGAAATGGTGTTTAATTTCGAAACACGTAAGATATTTATTGAACTGATATCGGCAATCGCTTTATATAATTGTTATGTGTACAGTAAAAACGACATGTTGAAATACTCGACGCTCGGAGTGACGCACAAACTGTGCAAAGTGGGGTGTCTATTGTGGAGGGAGAGCCATTGGTCCGACACGCGTGCGCATCCCCGTATCTTTTTACCCCCGCCGACTTACTTTCCTCTCTATATATGTATGACGTATAGAAGTTGCAATCTATTGCTTTCGTGATTTCGCCTGCATTCGCAGTACTCGAGTAGAAATTCTTGGACCACTTTGGATCACGTTGGATCACCGTTGACCCACGTTGTTGAGTTCAGGTACGATCAATGATCACATGGATCGCACACAAGTCTTTCCTGTTTATTAAGTATTGCTGTCTCCAGCAAAATTATTTGCAGTTTGAAATTCATGACAGGAAAGTTATTTAGTGTGTATGAAATATACTATTTTGCTTTTCTCTTTGTTTATTATTAGTTGTTAACTTTTTCAGTCAAACAGTTGCAATTAGCGATTTAGAACAATTAAAACTGCAGTAAAAGAAAGACCTTTTGATATGGAATGTTCCGTTAATGACACTGCCGATGCAGTGTAAAATTATTATTTCTCAGTAAAACAAGTTCGTGTGGTAGAGTCATTTTTAAATTTTCTCTGTTTTATGATTATTAACAAAGTAATACAAAGTCCTATTTCTTGTTAATTATTTGCCGATTTTTCTCTAATAATTGTTATCAGTATTTGTTCGCAGATCAATAATTCGCGGATTTGGCAATTAATGACACTGTAAATTTTGCCTGTAAAGGAGTATTTCCATGTAGAAGAAGGAAAAATAAATACAAAAGTTCTATAGTTTATATCTGCAAAATAAGACCGGAGTGACCTAGAGACAACATGCAAGAACAATATTGTGTAACTGGAACTAAGATTAAAAGTCTAGAAAAAAAGATAGGTTTAAATAAAAGTTTATAAATGCAAATACAGCTGTAGAATGATAAGTAGAGCAGTATTGCGTGTAGTAATAGATGCCGGATCGAATAGATGCCAATACACATGCCAATACAAGAATTTACAATTCTGTAAAGCCAATTAAAAGATATCCTTATATAAAAAATGTCGGTAAAACAGAGGGACTCCAGCATCCCCTTAAGAGGGAAACCTGGTTTATGACGCTCAAGAAAGATGAATCTTTAGGACTTTTTTTCTGAACAAACTATAAAGCCAATCTTTCTAAAACTTTTAGGGTACCTTATTATACTATATTTAAATTATACAAAATGATTTTGTATTTATTAATATATAGTATATATTAATAAATAATGACATTAATAATGAATAATTCAGGGATCATGGTCGTGTTACATAGCCGATGTCGCAAATTGGCAAACAATGTGGAGCCCTAATTCTTGTCTGTAACCAAAAGACCAAAAACATTTTTAATTTTCATATAATTTTATAGTCGATAAACTACAAAAATTAGAAAAATATATAAAATTCTAGACATTTTAAAAACTTAAAAAAGTAGCGATTTTGACCAAAGAATTTCAACTTATTTATGCCAAAAAAATTGTTTCAACTCATTTTTTAAATAATATTTTAGTTCATTTTTTTAAGGATAGTTGGTAATTATTTAACCAAGAAACCCAGGAAGAAGTCGATCGGTCGAATAGTTTTCTTTCTATCTTGCCCGCCAGTTTGAAAAGGTCATTTCGAGAAAATCGTATTTAAAGTTTGAGATACAAAAAGTAACAGTTATTGATAACTTACAGCATTTCAAAGCTAATCCGCTCTCCCGGGCCCATGTAACAAGCTTTCCGTCACCCCAAAACTTGCTTTTTGTATTTTCTCCGGTTTACGAGCTGTACGAACTCCTTTTGTGCTGTTTTGAAACATACATACGATGTTTCGACAAACATCTGCTGGGCATGACAATACCATACAAAGAGAAGGTGGAGTACAATGTGTGCTTATACCACTGCGCGGTCCTACACCTTTTCGACGAGTTCTTGTTCTCCAAGCTATAACTAGAGAAATATTTCGAATTTCGCTCTACAACTTTACAAGAATATTCTCTGGCAGTGCTACTATCGATTAAAGGAAAACAATTGAAATTTTTTACCCTCTAAATTAGGTCCTCCCCCTTAAAACGTCGCATTTGAATCAGTATATTTTAATTACATCAGTATATTTCACTTACTTTATGCATAATGCGTTTTAAGCTGCTAATAATAATTATTAAACATTAATTAGCAACCAATATAACGAACTGAGCTCTTCGAGATTTGTTCTGCATGCGAGGTCAAGCGCGTACGGAAATACTACTTGCACGTAGTAATCACATGCACTTATCGGCCACCGGAAAATTACTCGTCAGACGCCTATCATTAAACGCGCAGACATTTATAACTTGGATTATCATATGGACTACTCCATTTACACCATGGCGTTATTCTTCAATGAACAAATTTGATAAGCTTGAGATAAATTTTTTTTCTAGTGAATACGTCAAAGCATTTTAGTAATTTTCAGTTATAAACGATCAAAAGAGAAGAGTTTTCTACGAACTTTAGAGAATCAATGAATAGTTAATTTTCTTGTAATTAATTTCATATAAAATTTAATTTATTTTCAAATTTAATTTAAACAGCAATTTAATGTTTAATTAATTAATTTAAGCTAGAAAGGTACATGATTAGTGTTCGGTTACCAAACAGTTGTATCGGATATTTCCTCTCGAAGAATTTGCACATATATTTGATTTGTAAATAGCTGTACTTATTTTGACTTAAATAAGCAGGTATTTTCTTTGCCTCCTATTAAAATTTTGGTTTGAGCGAGCAAATACAAATATCGGGCCATCACCTTCTCGCGTGAGCGCATTTTTTGGAATCGAAATTTCTTAAATTTCGCACGATTCTCTGGAAATCGACAGATACTTACAAATACGATTAAAACTTCTTTATCCTATACATTCCTATCACTAGACTTTGTTTAATTACAAGAAAAATTTGTCGATGCAGGAATAGCTGCTTTAAACTATTTATTCTGACAAGAATAATGATAGACTTACAAGCTTGTTAGAAAAACTCATGATAAGAATGTACAAAATACGTATCTTGAAACATGATCATGATTACTGATATGATAAGTCGAATGATTAAATTTTCTGTATGATTGTTATTTCTTTATAGGTACAGGAAGTTCCAGCAAAGGCTCTACTATGGCGGAATCTTTAGAGCAAATGGCAAAATCTGACACTATAAGACTGCGCGATCGTTATATCGGGTAAGCGACACTTACAATTGGTATAAAATACGAGGCGTTCTTGGCTCTGCATTTTAAACAGAAAAAGTGTGTCGATAAAAAAAGATGAATGTCGCGACGATTATTTTTTTATTCTAGGCAATCGTGCAAGCTGTTTTATAAATCGAATCCGTTAAAAATCGTGAGAGCAGAGGGACAATACATGTACGATGAGAAGAGTAATAGATACCTGGACTGCATAAATAACGTTGCGCACGGTACGTACTTTTTCGTTCTTAAAAGTTCGATAATTGTTAAGCCTCACTGATCTTTGTAGTGGGGAATAATAATTGCGGTTTGTGTAACATAGCTCTTAATCGACATGACTTAACTCCCTTGCAGTTGGCCACTGTCATCCGGACGTCGTGCGAGCTGGACAAGAACAAATGGCCTTGTTATCCACGAACAATCGTTTCCTTCATGACAACCTGGTGATATGCGCGAGTCGACTGGCATCACTTCTGCCAGAACCGCTGTCCGTTTGCTTCCTAGTGAACTCCGGGAGCGAAGCTAATGATCTTGCTCTTCGTCTCGCTCAGACGCACACGAAGAACAAGGATGTTATTACACTGGACCAGTAAGTTCTCCATCCAAGAGATCAGAATTAATGTTCTATGTGTGCGATATTTCTATAGCATTTCTATTATTGAGTTTCACGCGCTATATCACGAAAGTTCCGTCGATTAACGAGACGAATATGGAATGAACTTCTATTATTCCGTTCCTACTCGGAGCTTCTCAACGTAAGCAATGCCGCATGTGTATCTCGCTCAAAATATGTTGGATATTTCAGGCTGCGAACAAACACGATGAGAAAATTCACTGCCGAAATTAATCAGACCGATTTGTCTTTTGCTTGTTTGCAGCGTCTTACTGCTCTAAATCGGCAGGCGTCGCGTTTGGCCATCGAGATTGAGCATGCCGACAGTTCCGGACAAATCGGATGTGGATATCCGATTCTGTTCAACACGGCGGAAAATAGAATTCGCCGCCATAAAGATCTTGTCGCTGTTTTAGGTGGTGTAAGTCTCATGACCGACCCTACCTGCCAAAACGTATGACACACAATCTATATTTATTTTCTCCTTCTATCGGTGAGGACGATGTCGCTGAATACTGGACTTATCCGAGATAGGGAGAAAGAAAGAGAGTGACAAGTCGCTAGACGATGGTTCAAATGAAAATGTAATGTAAAATATAAAGACAAAACGATGTTACATCTAGCACATAAGCGACTTTGTTAAAGTTGCGTGCCAATTCTAAAATTATACAAAGTTGCGCAAAACATTGAAGTAATAATGTGCTTTTTACTGACATGTTACACAGAACTAGAAAACTGATAACGATAACGTACAACGATAACGATAACGCACTTGTGCTCTAATTATTTAAAGCAGCTTGTGGACTTGCCGTTTTGTCTTTCTATCGACGCTGACAGCTCAGGGCAGCTCGAACCCGCATGAATTAATAATTACGTTTTTACTCGAGTTTATGAATGAGTAGCCCTCAGCAACTACACGGACACGTGCGAATATGCGTAGCCATGGCATGGTCATTGAGCGTCTTCGGCAACAATGGGAAAAAGCTAAAAAAAAAGTTACATTTTCAGGGGGACTGCTTTTACTTAATAAAATAATTCTCTTAAAGAGCTACATTGTAGTCTTTGCAGTGCTTCGAAGAATTTAGATGAATGCAATGGACAGAGGCGGCATTTTTGTTCACGTTTATCTTTCTGCTTTTAGCGCTTATCACGGACATTTGACCACGATAATCGATATCTCGCCGTACAAATTCAACAAGCCCAACGGTACCGGCAAGAAGGATTGGGTGCACGTGGTAAAGTATTCCAAGTCTCTTTCATAAATAATTATTAACCAACGATATAAAATTGTCTATTTATTGCACATGAATTATTTTACTTTTTTTAAATCATCAAGATTGGCACAAAGAATAAGATGCCTTATAATTAAAAACAAAATTTGAAAAATATATCCGATGACACATTCGAGGATTAATTTTGTGACCAAAAGTTTTTTAACAAAAACGTTTTCTTGTTATATAGATCATTTCTTTACAGTTAAAGTATAATGTTGGTAAATATATCGATGAAGGGAGCCAGCCCCGATAACCTTGACCTTGACATATGTTGTCAAGGTCGCCCTCCTGAGTGACCTTGAAGAGGTTTTAGCCGTCGCTCGTAGTTCGTTAAAAAGTTATATGCATACAAAGTTGATTAAATAAAGCATAATTTTATTATACGAATCATATACATGTTT